GTTTCAGTCGAGATTGAAACGGTCGATGGAGGTTGCACCAAGGCGAACGGGGTATAAGGCTCTAGTTTAGTAGTGTTACAGAGTATAATACGTATATTTTAATATATTTTTTAAAAGAAACAAAACCACTGAGAAATGTTATGTGTGTTTAACAATGGGTTCGGAAAACTTTGAAAATGTTAACAACGGGTTCGGCCGAACCTGTGCGAACCCGCTGAATATCAGCACTGCTTGTATTCGTACGGTATCACCAATTTGAACAGAAGGAGACGGCGAAGAATTTGGCGACAAACTGTCGCCTTTCTGTCAACATCGCTCTCGGGTGTCGTTTCGACCTCTACCAAGGCTTGTCTGTTCTTGTCGACATACACCGGCGATTGTTCGAATGTATAATACCTTAACCAAATATTCAGTCTTTCACCGACGTATTTTGTATGTGTCGACATTCACCGGAGAATATCGACATTCTCTAATTTCGGTCTTTCACAGTAACATATACATGCATACATAGAGTATACTGTATATACATTCAGCTCCATATGTAAAGTTTTTAAACTGCTCTTGAAGATTTAGGCGTGAATTGTCTTCATGTCACATCCATGCTTTTCCATTGCTGTTAAAAAGCAAAAATTTTTCTTAAAAATCTCAAAAATAATTTTATAGATTAGAATTATAAAAATAAAATTCTAATTATTTTTACGCAGCCTCCAAAAAGGAGAACAAATTACTGTAGTATCCATCAATAAGTACTATGATTCTATATTATATTAATATAATAATAAGTAAGTTTAAATACCTAAATATTGCAATACTTTCTCTATTACAATACTTCTGATCACACAAGGAGGATGTGTGATTAAATTCAGAAAAGTATTCCAGTATATGCGCATACATACTTACTTTATTATTATACTAAATTAATATCCAGTCTGAGATGCCGTTGGACGGAGAACAGTGCTCAAAAGCGAAACTATCTGCTCCAAAACTGGAAGTCTGATCATCCTAATTGCTGCAATTTTTAATAAATTGCAAACCTATAAATTCTCACTGACGTCCATCTGCCTGACTATTCTAGAGAACGGAGTTAGACAGATGAAAGTCGGGACCAGATATAGAAAGTTTAGGGGTAGGAGACTCCGATTAACTATACGTGGACTTCCGGTTTGGACCGGAAATCATGTTATTTCAGTTTAAAAATTTTCTCCAAAACGTAGTTAGATGACAGGCATGGGCCGGATGGCCGAGCGGTCAAGGTGGCAGCCTACCGCTTCGACTGAAATAATTAAATCCTAAATATGCGGCCGGATGGCCGAGCGGTCAAGGTGGCAGCCTACCGCTCCGGGGGACCCGGGTTCGAATCCGAACGGGTCGAAAAATCCCCAGGAATTTTTCGGGGGGTGGTCCGTTCGGATATGTCCTCACCGCCCGGCAGCCCCATTGTGGGCCTGGCCGAACCCATAATGGGCTTGCAAAAAGAGGCTCTCTTAGTGCCCACAGGGCGGAAAGAGTTAAAAAAAAATGACAGGCACGACTGTTGTTAACAGGAAAAGTATGATGTACAGGGGCAAGATCGAGACCATAATTGAGAGCGCTGTGACGAAACGCTGTGACGAAAAATTGCAACCCGGCAATATGACGATGTCACAATAAATAATTGCTGGTTTATTATTAAAGTTATTGATTTTGAATTATAAATAAACCCGCGGCAGTTATTTGGACATTGAAAATGAAATAGCAATTATTAATTACTATTTGAGATAAATTTCCGAAAAATTCTGTAAATCTCAAATACTATTTTCTTATAATATTCTACAAAATAAATGAAATTTATTACATATTAATGATATTATTAAGAAAATAATATTACGGAATGAAATAATTTATAATTTAAATAAAAATAAAAGAATGTCGATAGATGGCGTAAAAGTTTAACATCTCGGCACGAAGTAAATTCAGATATGGC